CTTGGTGCGGCTCCGCGGTCTGCACGGGCTTTTCCTGCAGTCTGGGCCGCGGTGGAGCGGCCTCGGCGAGACCCCAGCAGGAAGGATACACGTTGGACCCCAGTGGGAGGGTCTGAGGTTGGACCACAGTGAAGGGGGCAAAGGTTAGATTCTTGAACAGAACGAGATTAGACCTAGCGAGGAGGTCTGAGGTTAGACTCCACGGAAAGGGCGGAGCTTCTATCCCAGTGGGAAGCACTAGGTTAGACCACAGTGGAAGAGGCTGGGATCCGACTGGAGAGAGGACCTCGTTTTTCTGTGGTCTCGTCATCCTGTCACCCCTCGTTATGGTTTATTTCAAGCTATTTCACTGTCATCTCTGTCCCCGCTATGAGGGTCTGACCTCAGACCCTCCAGCCAGAGTCTGACTCTGCCCCACAGGGTCTAGATCCCCCTTGTCCACTTTGGTTTGCCGGTCCTTTGTTTTACTCCCCTGTCCTTCCCGCCGGAGTCTCCCCTCTGTCCCCGCTCACTGTGGTCTACCCTCAGCCTCTCGCCAGTGCTCAGACCCCACTCCCACGTAATGTCATCCCTCTCACATTTTGATCCATCCTGTCCCGTCCCTTCCACCGAGTTCTAACCTCAGACCCGCACATTTGGGTCCAGGCTTTGTCCCTCCAACTGGAAATTCACAGACCGTCCCCCTGGGCCTAACCTTCACCCCGTCACAAAGACCCGTTCCCACCCCACACCCTGGTCTGCTCTCTCATCTCCCGCCGTGGCCAAGCTCCTGACCTTTGGTGGGTCGTCCCTGCAGACCATCCCACGCAGTCTAACCTGCACCCCTCCAGTCTTACCGTGCACCCCACCAGCTCTCTGAGCCCCGCCCTCCCCTCTCGTTCCCACAGCACAGCCTGATCCAGGCCTCGGAGCTCGTCCTGACGCGGCTTCGGCATCGAGCAGAGCAGAGGAGACGTCAGCGACAGAGGCTGGGGGACAGGGGGCGTCCGGGGCCTGCTGGGACCTCGGCCTCCTGAGCACCCCCCACTGCCCACCGCAGGCCTGGGGGACGTTCATTAGGGTGCTCGCCTCTGGCCCTTCGTGGAGGAGGAGGCATCGTGGAGCGGGCTCGCCGGGCCCCCAGGTTGGTGGAGCTGGGATTTCCTGCCCCAACATGCCCTGTGTCTCCAGCTAACACTGCTCTGTGCCTCAGACTCCCCATTTGAAAAGGGGGTGATCTCACCCAAACCCCCTTCTCCAGATGAGAATCGGCCGCAGATTACTTATATGTCCAGAGGAACCAGACTGTCCGTTGTCTTCATTCTTTTGCTGGGCAAGCATTCGACGAGAGCCTGGCCACGCGCCAGGCCGTGTGGGGTGCCAGACCGGCCCGGAGAATGGAGGGAGGGGGTCTGCGGGGCGGGAACACAAGGTTCGACCCAGAGGCAGCACTGAGGTGCAGTTGTGTGGGCCTCTGAGGAAAGAAAGAAGGTCAGGCCCTCGCAGAAAGACTGAGATTAGACCCCGGCGAGGGAAGCTGAGGTCGGACCTGCCAGGAGGGCTGTGTGAGACCCCAGGGGAGAGCTCTGGGTTGAGGCTAGGTCCCAGTGGGGCGACAAGGAAAGAGTCTCAGAGAGAAGGCTGTGGGTGGCCAGGGTAGGGGGAGGAGCTGTGGTCCGAATGCAGCAGAAGGTCTGAGGCTGGACCCCCTAGAACCTCTAGCCCTAAAGAGAATTGCTATAGTGAGGCCCTGTGCCGAAGGTTGGGGTTAGACCCCGGCAGAAAGTAATTGAGATTAGATTCCAGTTGGGGAGTGCCGATGGGACTGGGGTTCACCGTGCTGGAAGGGACTCGGCTACACCGAACTGAAAAGCGGGGAGACCAGGGAGTTGGAGACTGGGCCGATTTCCCTGGCCTGTGGCCCCTTCTGTGGCAGCAGGAGGTGTCCGAGGCCTGCACGTCAGGGGCCAGGGGAGGGCAGGGACTCAGGAGAAATCATGTCCTCCCCAGCACAGGCCAGGAATAGAATCCGGGTCATGAGGGGTGGGGAGCACTTCCTGAGTGGGATCCAGGCTGGTAGGGAGGGTGGGCTCCTCCCAGGCACGGGTTACGTGGGACTCCTGCTTCCCGGGGGAGAGGTCATTCCGGCCATCTGTCCGCCTCCTACTGTGGGATTCCGACTATCTGACCACCCACGCTGACAGTGGAGGCTAAGCCGCCAGTTCTCCACAGCGAGTTTTTAAAAGGTAGCCCACCAACTCTTGGCCGCCCTGTCCCCATCCCAGCTCCCAGAGCCCCGGCCGAAGTGTAGGAAGTTGCAGGAGTGGATCATCTCCCTCCTCTGCTGGCGGCGGGGACCTGCAGTGGCACAAACAGGCTCCTTGCTCCCTCTGCCCACCCTCAGAGGCAGGGCACGCTCCATCACCTCCCGCCCTGGATGGGCGTGGGATTCGGGGTGTGGGTCTGTGAAGTGTGCACACCCTGGAGGGGAGCGTGCATGCACGTGTGTGTGTCGGGGGGTGGGGCATGCGTGTGTCCACTTCAAGGCTCCTGAGTTTGTCTTCAGGAGCCTGGGCCATCTGCCTGGTCCTTTGAGGTTTGCCCCCAGACTTCTCACCGGCTCCTGGGTCTAGAACAGCGTGTACTGTAGTAGTTCAGGATGTAGAGCCTGAAGCCTCACTTCACTCTGTGCCTCAGTTTCCCCACCTGTAAAATGGGGCTGTTAGCGCCTACCTCACAGGGTTGGTTTGAGGGTTAGTTGTGTCAACACGTGTCAAGCACTTGTGTCAAGCGCTTATAAAACATTAGTAACAATGTCTAGCACTATGAATGGCAAGTGTTATTATTATTAATGGGTGGCTTTGTGGTTGTTTCTGGCTGGCTTTGTGAGGTTATGTCTGCAGGCGCTTATAAAACATTTGTAACAATGCCTGGCACTGTGAATGGCAACTATTGTTATTATTATTAATGGGCGGCTTTGTGGTTGTTTCTGGCTGGCTTCGTGAGGTTATGTCTGCAGGCGCAGCCTGTGCATTTGGATAAGACTGGCTAAATATTCTTGCCCTCCCCCAGTTCTGAGAGCCTGTAACTATTTGTAGCTTTTTTGCGTCTTTGGCCCTTATATGGATCAGAGACTGTGTATGTTGGGGGTGGGGGCAGAGAACGCCTCCGGATGACCCCCCACATCTCCCCCAAAACGCGCGCGCGCACACACACGCGCGCGCGCCCTCCGCCGCTGTCCGTGCCTGTGGTGCTGAACCCGGAGGGCGGGTGGGAGG